GCACTCTGCATGTACCTACATAATCAGCGAGCGTAAGTATCGAACATGGTCCTTACGATCCGTTCGAAGGAATCAGCAACCCTACTTAACGAACTACGTTCACTGAACGCACCCTTTGCAAACTTCAGTTTGATGAAATATTGACAGTCGAATTATAAAAGCGGTCGAAGGCGGCAGAAGTCGGAAAGTGTCTAAAATATAAAAACTCGTTTATCAAGCGCAAAACAAAACGAATTTACCGAGCGTGATAAAAGACATAAAAGTGAAAAAAACATACAATTTGTAAGTGCAGTGCAAAAGCAAGCGAAACCTAAAGCAGTACGCGTTGTGAAAAACAACCACAACCACAAGGTTTCGCAGAAATACACATGCATACATTCATGTGATCACACAAGTGGCGGGCAAACATTAGGCAAAACTACAAAAAATACTAAAAAGTGTGCCTATAGCTAAAAGGTGTAAAAGTGTGCCTAAAAGCGAAAATAAAAAGTCAAAAGACAACAAAAAAAGTGTATTTAAACAAAAAAAAAAAAAAAAAACTTAATTTTAAATTTGTATGGTTCGCGGACGGTCGAAGCAGCCGTCGCAAAAGTGTTGACCACGGCAGAGTACAGTACTCGCACAGCGACTCCTAAAATTGCCGGGACTCAAGTCAGAGCACCAGCACCCTAGTCAGGTGGCGTAACGAGGGCAGCCAACGTAGCGGCAGCAAGGCCATCAGCAAAGCAAGCCACAGCAAAGCGAGCAACAAGCGGCACAGTTCAGCTCAAGCAGGAGCACCATAACAACAACAACATTTGTACACCGGAGACTGGAGGGAGCCAAGGAACCCAGGTGGCAGTGGCGGTACAGTACTGCAAAAAGGTTACAGGTGGTACCCGCAAAACTCGTAAGTGTGCACATATTTCCTTTTTATGCACATACCTATGTGTACATACGTATGTAAAATTTATAGCGGTTTTCTCGTACGGTGAATAAAGGCATCGAACTTTAATTTACTGCAACTGACATACGTAGATACAGACATACATATATATCGAAATATATGTATTTATATGTACCCATAATCCCGCGCATTCTAAAATTTCCCCTATCCAAAAAACCGCTATAAAAATATACACGCGTAGCACACGGTACATACATATGTACATATAAGCTCATTTTATTATCTGCTCATATTTATACGCATAACTCCAAAAGTTCCGAACCGGCTTCTTTGTTTTGGTCCCGCATGGTATTTTAACGTATGCATGTATTCGCACATTTCATTTACCCCTTAATCTCACAAAGCCTTTGGCTCATAAAATTCGTACATACATATGTACATAGGTACATACGTTGAAGAAGCATATACTTATATACATTTACATACCCGGCACTCGTTGCCAATTGCCCGTTATATTGTTTCCTCAGTCGCAAAGCAGAGACGCTTGCTTGCGATACTCTCAGTTCCATACACATATACACAAGCAACCACACATCCTAACTATTGAACTTGGATGCGCAAAGGCTGTACAGTTTGATGAAATTATACACACAGTAGGATACGGATAATAAAAAAAAAAAAAAAAATTAATTAATATATTCATATTTATATATATATATATATATAAGTTAGCTTAAACAAAGTAGCTTGCCCCACCCACTTTAAAAGATTTTTATACACACGTTCACAATATTTCCCACTACAATAGATTTACAGCACTATAAACCCATTTCTCCATTTATTATCGCATACGAAGGTGACCCATACTAACATTGTTTCAGTTAAGTTTCAAATACGTATATATAAATACAGACGTGGTTGTTTGTTTACCCCTTTTCTACCCGTTAACCACATTTGGAAGATAATTCGATTACCGCGCACTCATATAGCATATATATATATGTACATGAAAAAAACCATCGAGGTACGTACATACACACCAACGCGTACATAAATAAGCTCCACCCTTTTTGTTCGCTCTCGCACTGCACATAAAAAGCACTGTTACTGGACTTAGACGCGCTAGGACAGTACAGTGTAGCAAAAAGTTATTTACTCACAGTGGGACAAAACCGGTACCCACACAAAATAAATAAAATACTCTAAATCACTCTAAATCAATTTTAAAGCAAAATTAAGCTCGATTATACCCCTGCATATTATAACGAGATATTGTATATAATTGAATTGACCCGAATTATCCATCTCACATACAATGGAGAAGAAAACACTAACTTCTGATAATGATTCAGAGGCAAGTCTCCAAGCTTTCATATTTGAAAGCAATAGATTAGAGTCATTTTACTCCACATGGTCAGCAACTCTTATAGCTGACCAGACAGAATCTCTATTGAGGGTAAAGATCCAGCAACTAGACAGATTGTGGGAATCACTCGTTGTGTCTTTTAGAGCAGTATCCCTTTCCGGAGATCATGATGAGTCAAGTGGCTCTATCGAGCAAAAATATAAAAAGTGCTCAGAAAGCTACGAAAATTGTATGTCCCAAATACTAGATGCTCTGCAGCTTTTAGCACCACCTCCACAACCCAGAAACCTTCCTAATAATTCCAACGCCCCTGAGGTTTTCCTCAAAGTACCACCATGTGACACCGAAGTCTTCCATGGTGGGTACGAAGACTGGCCGGCCTTTAGGGATATGTTCACGGCAGTCTATGGAAATCATCCCAAGCTAACACCAGCCCAGAAACTCTACCATTTACGCCAAAAAACGAGAGGCCAGGCAGGGCAATTGGTTAAGCAATACCCGCTGACTGACGAAAGCTTTCAATTAGCCTGGGAGGCACTGAAAGCGCGGTATGAAAACCGCAGAATATTGGTCGATAACCAATTAAAAACTCTCTTTAATCTCCAATCGATTTACTCAGAGAACGGTGAGCAGATTCAAAAACTCCAAACCACGATAAACAACTGTTTGTCCACTTTGGCAGCACAAGGAATCCCAACCTCTGACTGGGACCCCATCCTTGTCTATATTTGCTCTTCAAAACTGCCCAGTGAAACCCTTTCTTTGTGGGAACAGTCGCTGAGTTCTCGAAAAGAACTGCCGCTGTGGGCAGATATGAATGAGTTTTTAACAACTCGGTATGAAGTTGTGGAAAGACTCAGCACTTATCGCCCAGGTAAAACAAGAACGCCTCTACCAAACTTTCCCCCCAGAGCAAATAATCAAAACTCAAACCCTTTTAATAAACCGAAAACCCATAGCTTCCACACGGAACTAAATCAGCAGGTATCATGTAAATTATGCAACCAAAACCATCCAATGAAAACCTGCGTGAAGTTTAAAGCCCTGTCCGTATCTGAGCGACTCAAGTTCGTAAGAGAAAACAAATATTGTGAGAATTGCCTCTCATATTCCCACTTCAAGAGTGATTGTCAGAGCAAGTTCTTATGCGTATACTGCCAAAAGAGACATCACTCCCTCCTCCACTTCCAACCACAATCCCAAACATCTAGGGCCAACGCAAGACCTCAGAGGACCCTTACCCAAATGTCTACTCAAAATCGGATAGACCATGAACAGCCGTCGACATCCGAGCAGGCGGCTAAAAATGCCCTTACAAAAAGTCCACCTGACAGTAATGCCCAAAAGGTTTCTTCCCATTTTTCAAGTAGCAGCGCAACAACCCTACTCCCCACAGCAATAGTCCCAATATACTTCGCAGGAGAATATCATAAAATTCGTGCTCTAGTCGATCAAGGGTCACAGAAGACCTTTGTGGCATCACGAATTCAAAAACTCCTTGGAATACCCACTAGAGAAACTCACTACCAAATCTCTGGAATGGGAGGAATGGTAGTACAAAATTCGAACAAAGTTTGCGAAATAACGCTATGTTCATCTGATTTGGGTCAGAAAATCACCACAAACGCCATCATCCTCCCTCAGCTCACCCACTTTCTGCCCACATTCAAAGTGTCAAATGTCAATATAGACCAAGTACGCTCCCTCCAGCTTGCTGACCCTAACTGGTTTACACCAACGAAAATCGATATGGTGATAGGCAGCGATATAACTCCCCAAATACTCCTGGATGGGCTACAACACAATATCGACGGCACCTTAGTAGCCCAAAACACAATATTCGGTTGGATACTCAGTGGTCCAGTAAGAGAACATATCTCAACGTTCTCCACCCACGTCACAGAAGCAACAGAACCCGAACTCAGCACGCTGCTCAAAAGGTTTTGGGAGCAGGAGGAGATAGAAACCGCTCAACCCAAGTCAGCAGAAGACGAATTCTGTGAGGAACTCTACAGGACCACAACCGCCAGACGAGAGGATGGACGCTACGTTGTGAGACTCCCCTTTAAACCCGAATTCCCGGACGCCCTTGCCTTAGGCCACTCCCGCCCAGCAGCTCAGCAGCAATACATAAGCGTAGAGAGGACTTTGGAAAAAAAGCCGGAGCTGCGCGAAAAGTACTCAGAAGTACTGAACGAGTACTTGCAAATGAGGCACATGGAACACGCTTCCCCCCTTGAAACCATAAAAGACGGCAAATATTTTTCATTTTACTTACCCCATCACGCAGTCTTAAAGCCCGACAGTAAAACGACAAAAGTGCGTGTCGTCTTCAACGCATCTAAGACATCTCAGTCAGGAAACTCCCTGAATGACGTTCTTTATACAGGCCCAGTACTCCAAAACGACTTGACGTCCATTATCCTCAAATGGCGTCTTTATGAATTCGTTTTCAATGGCGACATAGAGAAAATGTATCGTCAAATACGCGTCCATAGAGAAGATCAAAATTTCCAGAGGATTCTTTTTAGGAAAGCCCCTCACCTGCCAATCGAAGACTTTAAGTTAAAAACCGTCACCTTCGGTGTTAACTGCGCCCCATATCTGGCAATTCGTACGCTCCACCAGCTAGCCCATGATTGTCAAGAAAAATACCCCCTCGCCAAAAACATTATACTACACGAAACATATGTAGATGATGTACTCTCTGGCGGACACAATATACAGTCCACTCTCAACTCGATGACCCAAACTATAGAAGCTCTAAAATCGGCAGGCTTTCCACTGAGAAAACTAACAGCTAATCACCCAAAGATACTTGAATTAATCCCAGATTCTCATGTCTTAGATACTGAATTTCTCAAATTCCAGGATACAAGCTCAACCAAAACGCTTGGAATAAGATGGAACGCACTGACTGACTCCTTCTCGTACTCTTACGACCCTTTACCCGCATCTAAGTCGAACACAAAACGACAAATACTGTCAGCCGTAGCGAGACTTTTCGACCCGGCAGGATGGCTATCGCCAATAATGATACTTGCCAAAATCCTCCTCCAACAATTGTGGTTGGAGGGAACGGACTGGGACGAGCACGTGAAGCCTACGTCTTTCCATAAGTGGAACAATTTCCGTGAAGACCTCCAGGCAATAAGCGCCATCAGCATACCGCGTTGGGTGCGCTTCGCGCCCGAAAAACGCATACAGATACATGGTTTTTCAGACGCTTCTGAAAAGGCATTCTGTGCTTGCGTTTACATCAGAGTACAACACGCAGAAAACTCCTTCTCGACTCACCTTTTTGTTGCCAAAACCAGAGTTGCCCCGCTGCAAACGATAAGTTTGCCACGTTTAGAACTTTGTGGCGCTGTGTTGCTGTCGAAGTTAATCGCTTTTACCCGTTCCCAACTGAATCTGCCACCTCATGAATCAACGCTCTGGTCAGACTCCTCCATCGTGTTAGCTTGGCTGGAAAAACCACCACATTCATGGAAAACTTATGTAGCCAACCGGATCACTCAAATTCTCCAGAATGTGAGCAATACCACTTGGCGCCACCTACCCAGCGGTGATAATCCAGCAGACTTAGGAACACGTGGATGTAAACCACAAGATTTAGCTGTATGTTCCTTATGGTGGAACGGGCCCGAGTGGCTCTCCAAACCATCTTCTTCATGGCCCAAAGGAGTCCCAGCCAATTTAACTCCACCTGAAATGAGACCAATAGAGTCCCTCCACTCCTTAGATTGTGCGGATATTCTTGAACGCTTTTCCTCATTTTCAAGAGCTTTAAGAGTCATTTCGTTTCTCTACCGGTTCGTACGTCGCTCGCGAGATTCCCCAATTCCAGCATCGTTAGCTCTTACACAGGAGGAATTGAATCTCGCAAAATTAAAACTGATCGCAATAACACAACGCAACTATTTTGCAGAAGAAATAAGTGCCTTGGAATCCTCCAAACCCATTAGCAAAAAAAGCTCTCTGTTAACCTTAAACCCTATGTTGGATAATGCTGGTATTATGCGAGTAAATGGACGTTTAGCTTATGCCGCCCTAAGCTATAATGAACGCCACCCCATAATCATCCCAGACGGCTCGAAATTCTGCTCACTGCTGCTAGACTTTCTCCACAAAACCTTGCTTCACGCTGAAAAGCAGCTAATGATTCGTATGGTGCAGCAGGAGTATTACATTCCCCGCCTCAAACAAAAGGTGAAAGGGTGCATCTTCCAATGCAAGACTTGCACTATTTACAAACAGCGAATGCGATCACAAATAATGGCGGCACTACCCCCAGAGCGTTCATCGTACTCGCTGCCCTTTCACACAACCGGCGTTGATTTCGCTGGACCGTTTATGGTAAAAACCTCCCCCCTGCGACGAGCGTCTCACACAAAAGCATACGTTTGTGTATTCGTATGCTTTTCCACAAAAGCTGTCCATTTAGAATCATGCACAGATTTGACCACCGAAGCGTTCAGAGCCGCATTCACTCGATTCGTCGGCCGCCGCGGACTGCCAAACAAAATTATGTCCGATAACGGGAAGACGTTTATTGGAGCACAGCGGGCTATCCAGCGTGATTTTGCTTTATTTCTGAAAGAGGCAGCTTCGGATGTCGCTGCACGATATGCGGTACAGGGACTCTCTTGGCAGTTCATACCGCCATACGCCCCTCACATGGGCGGTCTGTGGGAAGCCGCCGTAAAAAGCTTTAAAACCCACTTCACTAAAGTCGCTGGAAACCAAAAATTCACCTTTGAGGAATTCACCACTCTCCTCATCCGAATCGAGGCAGTCCTCAACTCGCGCCCTCTCTCCCCCATGTCACAAGATCCAAGCGACTTATTAGCTTTAACGCCAGGCCATTTTCTCCGTGGGGCTCCCTTGGTTTCCCTACCTGAGCCGAATGCCGAAAATGTATCGCTCCATACCAAATGGCAAAAATTGAAAGTCCTCCATCAGCAATTCAGCTCACGTTGGAAAACCGAGTACCTACAAGAATTGCACAGGAGATATAAGTGGAAACACCCACAACTCAATATCCGCGAAGGAGATTTTGTGGTGATCAAAGATGATCTCTTGCCTCCCACTGACTGGCGCCTTGGCCGAGTCACCAAACTCCACTTTGGGGCGGACCAAAACGTACGAGTGGTAGATGTTCGAACACAAGCCGGCATAGTCACTCGAAACGTCACTAAAATATGCGTATTACCCTCATAACAGTATACCACCCTCTAGTGCCCCCTCGGACACTTCCTCCACCGCTCAGAATTACTCATAAACATACATAAAATTTATATCTGTTCTCCCCACACAGCGCACACCCATGCCATCGGTTATATCACTAATCCCGTCTTTCGAAATTCTCTTTCCAGGTAGTAATCGTTCGGTATGGAATTCAGCAAGTGCCGTTTATGCTGCCGCTTCCACAGTTTGCGTTTTTGCCACGCCTTTAGAGCGATGACACCAGAGGAGAGATATGAGTCCGCAAAAATCCATCGCTACTGTATAAACTGTTTAGCCACATCCCACGCCACCGGCGTGTGTGATTCAGCCGATAGTTGTCACCGTTGCGGAAAAGCACACCACACCATGTTGCACCGCTCTGTATCGCCACCACCAGAACGCCGCCGTCGAGATGAGGCTCGCGGAAAAGCAGGTCGCCGGGAGATATCGTCGACCAGCAAGGCCGTCCGAAAGCCGACCAGGAAAGCCGAAGGCCGGACCGCCGTCCAGCGACGCATCCACGATCTTTTCAGCCAGGCGGTCCTGACTCTAGAAAAGCTCAAGGAGCTCCTCCACATCACTCCGGCACAGGCGGGCCGGCATGTTGAGAACATGAGTGCGAACCTCATCGACCTGTGAAAGACGACATCCACTATCTAGTTGCAAACCTTAACATCCTTTTTTTCTTGAATTTTAATATTGCCATATGAATTGAATTTTCTGGATATGTATTAATTGCCTTGCTAACATTGCCATATGAATTGTAATTTTCTGAATATCAATTGCTTTGCAACCTTGCATACATATGCTCGTATATCGTAGATTAGGGTGGCGTGTTACTTTAATTTGGCCGTTGTAAATTATACGCGACGATACGGGACCGCCCGATCGCGCAAATCTTAAGTTATTCATTACGCTTCTGACCGCCATCGAGATCACCTCGACTGAATTCCCGCACTAGCCCCTCAGGCACCTTGCAATCGAAAAACGACGTTGTAACTAATAATTAATTGAATAAATTAAACATTTGTATATTGTGAACATAAAAGGCCCCCTTTCTTTTATTCGCGCATTCAAAGACCTCCGAGGTACAATAGTGCACTCTGCATGTACCTACATAATCAGCGAGCGTAAGTATCGAACATCAACAAATATTAAAGCTAATTTACTCAAAATTTATGCTTGCAACAATTCTTTGCCAAGAAATACGGTTATGACAAAATTTTGGAAAATGGGCGTAGCACCGCCCACTTATGATCACATATATGTATCTCGGTAACCGTTCTACCAATTTGTACCAAACTCGGTATGATTATTGTGCTTTCCACATAGAAGCAAAACGTTGAAAATTATTGGAATCAGATTCAAATTACGACCACTTTTCATATAACGGCAAATTTCAGAAATGCATGAAACTTTAAGATTTCGAAATTTAAAGACGCTAATTTACTTAAAACTGATACACACCGGCTTACCATGTAGCGGTACCTGCGCCGGGTATTTAGTGTTCGGCTCCGCCCGAAATTAGACTTTCTTACTTGGTTCTTTGATACTTTCATTACAGCAGTTATGCCATGCACTTGTTTAATATTAGCTATAGTTTGCGAATTTTTGCAAATTTAGAAACATTTGCGGTAGCTGTAATAGAAAAGCCATTATCTTCACTTATCGAGGAAAATTTTTGTTTATGCAAATGAGTATGGAAACACTGAACAGGCACAACTTCTAGAAACACTAATTAGTTTACTTATGTTTACGCATACAATATAAAAATTGCAAATATAGGAAAAATACAAAAAATTTTGTTCAACATTTTTTTTTTATTTTAAAATAATTTCTCTATTATCTGAAAGATTTTCATTATATTATTATCATAAATCAATAACAGTAAATCTCGCCCACAATTTGGTAATTATTACTTACCGATCGAATAAAATCTCAGTTAGTCTAGACTAAAATTAATTTAGCTTACCGTAAGCAATCATCAATAATTACTCAATACGTCAACTTTAGCCAAGAGAGGAAATATTTTGTGTTTGTATTTTCTTTTTCAGCTGTTTAACAGTTTGCTGCCTAAAATGCCACATCAAAAAAATGCATGCAACCAAAAATGTTTGCTTTCATTTATTTTTAAGAAATACAAAAGCGAGAGTCTGGCAAGACTGATTCTCTCACCGCTCTCAATTTCCATAAGGCCGTAACTTAAGAACCTAAAATCTACAGGCTCTTGGGTTTCTTACGGTAAGTTAAGTTTTAACTAACCGCCAACACAGGTTCTCATATAACAGGTTGGCCAAAATATTAAGTTTAGTTAAGTTACGGAAACTAAGACTAACTGAGCTTTAACATTTGCAATGGGGTATAGTCGTTGCGCTGGGTATGCAGTTACAGTTGCATGGCTATACTCAATCCCAACTCTTGCGTCCTCGTTCGCGCACTCTGGGCAACGTGAGCAACCCATGTGCGAGATGCGGTAACCAATCCGAGGGGAGCCTTGGGTCACGGCAGAAAGAGAGGGAGCTTCGGTGGGGCCACTCCGACTTATTCGGTTTAAGGGCTCACTGAAGTCTGCAGCGTCTGTTCACCAGTAGGTGCGGCTGCATGCGGGTGTCTGCTTGGAGCAAGCGGCTCGCTATATAAAAGTGTATTTGGTTGCGAAACCACCCCCGTCCCAGCAATGGGTTGTGCGCTGGGCTTGGGACCCGCCACGTAAAAACCACTTCCAGTGAAGAAGCAAGGCAAAGCCTCGGATGAGACCCCCCCTTATGATGACGACCACGGCAAATGTTTAAAGGACTACGATTTGAGGGCATGCACCTGGAATGTCCGGACCCTTAATGGGGAAGGTGCCTCTGCCCGGCTGGTTGATGTCCTCGTAAGGACAAAAGCTGACATCACCGCCATCCAAGAAATGCGTTGGACGGGGCAAGGCAAGCAATGTCCGGGCCTTGCGACGTCTACTACAGCTGCCATGTAAAGGA